ATGCTGATTTATATGCCAAACATCAAATCCATTTTTCTTCTTGCCTGCCAAATCCAAATAGCATCTGCTCTGCCCTGTTGATTTGATTTCGGCCCATTCAGCTGTTCGCTTATTACTTTTGCTCACACATTCGCATTCTTATAAATTCATATTTATTTCTGTTTGCAGTGTGGTACGTGATCTGATGGGACGCACGGACCGCTTCGGCGTCGAGGTGCGTGAGCGCACAATGTGGGACATACGCACGGGCGTTGTGGGCGCTGACACCTTTGTGCCCAAGCACGTGGTGATCGCCACCTGGAAGAATGTCTCTTTTGCCGGTGGCATTGATAACTCACTCTTTACGGTAAGCTGAGCGAACTTATACAAAGATTACTCTCTTATATATTTACATATATTTAAACTCTTTTACAATGAGATTCCTTAGCACTGCAATGAAAATTTTTCATCATAAAGATAACGGCTATAATTACTTTAAGTTATTTTTGCTAGCAATTGCATTCAAGGCAATTTCACAAAAAATTTCATAGCATACTTTTCTGCGCGAGTTAATTGAGTGCGAATGGCAGAAAGAAAGCTAATGGCACTCAGCTATGCTGGCTTATTACAATTATTATTTCTTTTCACTAACAACATTCTTTCTCTTCTCTCTTCCTCTTGCCCCTCTCGACGACTGCAGACAAACACTTTCCAAATGGTCCTGGCCACCGATGAGGTCTACACCTATGTCATCTTCAACTATGCAGTTCTCAATTGGCTCTCGCACACTGAGGCGGGCGGCGATACGACCAAGGGCGAGGGCGGTGTGCCCGCATTCGTAAGTCTCGCAAATAGGATAAATTCTATTGAAGCACTCTAATTAAACAACACGCTTTGGCATGCGTTTCGGTCGCACCTAATTAAGAAATTACATAATGAAAAATTTCCACAAATTTTCGCACACGCACAGATTCTAAGCTACAAGCGACGCGATTTTAATTAACGGCTGCCAAGCAACGGTAAAGTTTTCCATTGCACTTTAGGTGCACGTTGGCAGCTTTTCCCTTTGTCGAGCGCTTTCATGTTCGGCTTTGCTAACTGAATTTTCGCAGAACATTTTTTCTCAGATATTATAATATATATGCTCATGCATATGCTGGCCTTCTAACTGAAATTATGTGGGCAGGCATTTCGTTAGAATGCTCAAGCATGTAGCAGTTAAATGTGTGTGTGTGGGTGTGTATGAGTGTGTGTGTGTGTGTGGTTATGTGAGTTTACATTCAAATAATTTCTAGTTCAATCGAATTGTTTCATGAAATTCAATTCCATTGCCAAAGTCTACTGCTATGAATAGCTTGCAATGATATTGCTATGCAGTGCACATAGATAAGGCTCAATAGAAAGGGCATATTAGTTTAATGAATTTAGCTAGGTTGCAAGTAGATGGAAGGAAAAGAGGGGAATTTTAAGGCAATTGAGTTGAGTATAAATGAAGATGGTAAAGTAATGGCAGCTAGTGAACTAATATATATAGATATATACATAGATATAGATAGGGGATATATATATGTATCACAAAAAATGAGAAATATAATATAATGAATGAATATAATGATTTTTAACTGCTTCAATATAAATTTAAATCTATATTTCATATGCATATATAGATAGATATATATGTATATAGATATATGTATATGTATACATATATATCTATATATTTCAATCATTTGAGAGTAGCGCATTGCTTAGTCATCGTAGGCAAAGCTTTCTGCACTCTACTGTTTACTTGCTGTGTGAATATTGTTGATGGCAACTTACAAATTATAATTAAACGCACTTTGGCAACTTTGCCTGCATAATGGCCAACAAGTTGTTGGCTAAATTGCTGCTCTTTGGCCAAGCGTTACACAAACTCGAATCGAGCTGTTCGAGTTGGCTACTAATTACAATTTAATTGCGGCTGGATATTAATATCGATTTGCATATCTGTTCATATAGGTCGGCTTCAATGCGGGCAACGGCACTCAGGCCTATGAGTACAAGCCCTACAGCCAGAACATGGTCATACGGGACTTGGCGAATCGGGGCTGGGGCAATGGATTCCCTGGACGGCATATATTCCGCATCGACGAACAGATTTTGATTGGGTCGTGCAACAAGGATATCGGTGCGTATGATTAATGGCCTTTGTCGATTTTGGGTTTCACTTTAATTATGGCCTCTACCTACGACAGATGCCGCGCTTCTGCCGCTGACATTTGCACCCGAGTCGGGCAACATGCTGGGAGGGCAGGTGGTGAACATAACGGGACCCTGCTTTGACCCGAACATACGCGTTACCTGCCACTTCGACACGGAGTCTGTGCTGGGCACCTATGTGGATCGCAATCGTGTGATTTGCGTGCAGCCCTTCCTCAAGGCCGAGGGCTACATCCGCTTCCAGATCTCCGTGGGCACGCAGCGCTTCAAGTGGCGCGGAAAGTACTTCGTGGAGACACCTGCCGCTGCTACCGAGAAGATCTTCTTTGCCACCGACGATGTGCACAAGCGCAATCCCAGCGAGATTCGTATCAGCTGGAACGCCTTCAATTTGACCTCTAATCTGAATGCCAATGTCATGATCTCCCTGTGGGGCTACCGCGAGACCAAGATCGAGCCGCAGCTGGAGTACATTGATGTGATCGAGGCCAGCCTGACCAATTCCGGCAGCTATGTCATCACGCCTTCCAACTATATAAACCGCCACAACATCAACAACGACATGCAGTTCGGCTTCCTTCAAATCAATCTCACCCAGCCGGCTCAATACTCCAACCTGGCGCTCAGTCCGTAAGTAGTTGAAATCTTTAGCTTAAATTGTTTAAAAAGAAAGGGAATCAACATTTGCCCCATCTCACTAACTTTTCTTTATATTCAAGAATTCAATTTCGAGTTTTTTATTTTTAACCAATCGAATGATTTCGTTTTTATATTTACATTAACTAATGGAAATTTCTGTTATGCAGCAAAAAGCCGTCTAATTCGATTAGTTAAAAAATGTGGCAAACCGAGTTTGAATCTCTGTCTAGTCTTTAAGTGCTGTCTCTTGTTGCTCATACGCTCCGTTGGCTGGCTGGGACACTGTTTATTATATTTTAATTGACTTTCAGTTGTGTCAGCTGCTAGCTGGCTTCGACCCCTCCCCAGTTTCGCTCGTATTTTTATTCAATTTACCACAGCAATTGCAGAGTGCTGTGTGCAGCCACATAGCTCGTCCTCACGTCTTTGGGGACCAATCAGTAACCACTGGCATTGACTCCGCTTCTGGCTCTGGCTATGGCTCTGGCTTTCGACTGTGGCTCAGTTGGCTCAGTCATAGATGGCTTATTATGACACTTTGTAATTAGACGAGATGGCTAATCAATAGCTAAGTGAAATGTGTTCACCATGGCCACAGCCAGCTCAAATTGTTGGCTTCTTTGACGAGCGCCCGCTCGCCCGCCCACTCGGCCGCTCGATTTTTGCTAATTTGCATAGCTCTGTTTAGCACAAAACTCCCTGTGCTAGATGCATACCCTGTAAACACAAAAGTATAGCCTAAGGAGTTCATTTTTTCAAGCATACTCTGTTGTCTTTACTATATATATGATACAGAGGGTGCAGAGCATAGACTTCCTTATAGTACAGCAAGCAACAGGGTATCTGCCAATCGGATACACATCATCCACAGCTTTCGTACTTGTTTTTGCATTACGCCCTTGTAATTATTTCGCACTTAAGCCTGAAGTATTTGCATCAGTTAAAAGCTCACAAAAGACGCTCGTAATAACATTTAAGAGGCAATGAAATTTCTGAAAATGGTCGAGTTAATCGCACTGCAAGTGAATTACGGCGAATTCCAACAATAGCCAGGTACTCCGACAATACCTGGAAGTGTGTCAATGGATTAGACCCGAGCCGATTAGATCTATAATTATTTCAATACAGATATTTCGCAGCGTCTTGCTTAGGCATCTTAGTTGAAAGCGTATCTCAAGTTATTATGATGCTATGAATTGTGTAGGTCAGTCAAGGAGAACTGTTTGATGGCTTTGTCTACAAATCTTTCTTTATAGTTGTAGTTTTAGATTTGTCTAACTAGCTTGAAGCTACTTAGTTTTTGTGAGCGGCTTACCTTTTATTCATTTGCTTTTGCTTTCTTTATTTCAAATGAATTTCATTAAGCAGATCTATGTAAATTTCCTTCCTCCTTTGATTTCATATGTTAGAGTGAGACAGCTCTAGTCTAGTTTAGTCTTCAACCATTGTTAAACCTAGATATGACACTGTTAACTATATAGTGATGRCAGTGTGAGCGGAATATTAGAGGTATTGATATCGGAATGCAACATTTATTATTAAACTTAATGCAAAAATTTAATTTGTAAAAAAAGTAGTTCAATATTTATTTATTTTATTCAGCATTTTTTTTCCATGAGGATGTTTTGTTTACAATCCTAAGCAATTGATAAGGTTTAACATAGCAATTGCAAAGTCAATTCCAATTCAAAGAGCATTCATTCTTCGATTCGCTAAATATCCCACTTCTTTTTTGGTCTGCTTTTGTTTTCTTTTCTTAGGGCGCTTTGGTTTATGATACCTTTGGGTGTCGTTAGACTGTGCTACAGTTTCAATGGGGCACGTGGCAACAGCCCATATCTCATTTCATTTTAGTTGCAGCTGTGTCTGTGTGTGCGCGAATTTAATTTACATTTGATGAGCGACACGCGCGCTTATAAATTTGAGCTGTTCGCATCGGGCCATTGTCTTGTGAATGGAATCCTATTAAGCAGGACTCCTTAATTGGGTGTTTCGCGCATGCACACATATGCAATTAGCATTTACAGTTGCTTTGTCAATTGCTGACAAGGCCAGCAGGACGTATGAGCAATGCGAGTGCTTAGCTAATCAAACATTGTCTCACTCCCGCAGCATCCTGTGGTCTCGCCCGATTCCATTGGCCTGGTACATGGCGCCGCAGTGGGAGCAGAAGCATGGCAAGCGCTGGCCTCGTGCTCTATGCGATAATTGGATACGCGCCGACAGATTTCTCAGGTAAGTCATGGCAACTGCAGCTGCTCATTAAAAGCTGAACGAGTTTCGGGAGAGCTCTGCTCCCATCTCAGCTCAGTTTAGCTTCTGGCTCAGGTAAAATACTAATCGAGATGTCAAATTGCAGAAACTTTGCCGCCGACCTGCCGCTGTGCCCCTGCACTCTGGAGCAGGCGGTGTTCGACCTGGGCCGTTTCCGACCGGACCGTGAGTGCGACAAGGACTCGAATCCCAGCTGCTTGCGCCACAGTGGTGCCATTCATTGCGTGGTCAGCGGAACACCAGTGTAAGTAGTAATATATTTTTCCACTCTCACAATCCACTTCATCAATGTCCCTTCTCCCCCTTAAGTGCCCAAGGTGCTGAGCAGCAGTGCTGCTACGATCGCTACGGATTCCTGATGCTGACCTACGACCAGATGTGGGGCTCGCGGCCACGTCGTATCCACAACCTGGGCAAGATGCCCTGGAATGAGGCTAGCAAGGTGCCCTCGCTGTCCATGTGGTTCCATGACATGCGTCCGTTCTACTCCTGCTGCTTCTGGCAGGAGGAGCAGTCCGTGGGCTGTGAGACCTATCGCTTCGAGCGTCGCCCCTCGCAGGATTGCGTTGCCTACCAGGCGCCTGGCATTGCTGGCGTCTTCGGTGACCCCCACTTGATCACGTTCGATGGCACCGCCTACACCTTCAATGGCCTGGGCGAATTCGTGCTCGCTCGCAGCACGGACCAGAGCGAACATTTCGAGGTGCAGGGCCGCTTCCAGCAGCTGCCGCCCAACTACTATGGCCAGGTGATGGCCACCCAGCTGACTGCCGTGGCCATGCGTGGCAATACGACAACCACGATCGAGGTGCGTCTGCGTCCGCTGCACGCGCGCTGGCGCTATCGCCTGGATGTCCTGGCGGACGGACGCAAGGTGTACTTCGATCGCGAGAGCTTGAAGTTCCAGCACTTCGATGGCGTCACGGTCTATACGCCCACCTACCTGCTGAACCAGTCGCAGGTGGTCGTGCAATTCGATGCGGGCATTGGCGTGGAGGTGGTTGAGAACGAAGGCTTCATGACCGGACGCGTCTTTCTGCCCTGGAAATTTATTGTAGGTCGCTCTCGCAGCAGAGAGGAACATCCCTATTAATATGTGAGTTTTTGCTGTTGTTGTAGAATAAAACGGCTGGCTTGTTCGGCAACTGGAGCTTCAATCCCATGGACGACTTCACGCTGCCCAATGGCCAGGTGGCCTCGATCAACGTGAACGACCAGCGCAGCTTGTACAACAACTTTGGCCTCAAGTGGATGCTGACGGATCGGGATGTGCCCAATGTGGGCGCAGCGCTGTTTACGCGCGAGTTCGGGCGCATGGCCAGCTACTACTCGAATGCCACATTCCAGCCGAACTTCGTCATGGATCCCGCCGACTTCCTGCCCAGCAATCGCAGCTATGATCTGGAGCGAGCCGAGGAGCTGTGCGGCGAGTGCTCGCAGTGTCAATATGATTATGCGATGACGTTGAATCGGGACTTGGCGCACTTCACCAAGAACTACTATGACAGTCTGGTCAACATGCAAGCCGAGAACGCCAAGTGAGTGGAGCTCAAGATATACTTTTGGCTAGAGGGAATCTTTACTTTACGAACTCCTCTTTCAGGCGCGTTATCTCCTGCGGCGTGTTGCAAACGCCGCGTTTCGGACGCAAGCTCAGCTTTGACTTTATGCCCGGTGCGAAGGTCTCCTTTGAGTGCAACGAGGGCTTCATTCTGATCGGCGATCAGCGACGCGAGTGCCTGGCCAATGGCCTCTGGAATCTGCCCGAGTATGGCTATACGGAGTGTCTGCGTAAGTTTTCATATTCCTGCTTGCATCTGAGTGAAACCATTTTGCCTTTGAGCCGCTTGAGCTGACCTTGTCTTGTGTTGCGCATAGGTGAGGTGTATTACACGCGTCGTATCGCATTCATTGCAATTGGCATTATCCTACTCGTTATATGCCCATTGATGCTGTGCATCGTGTGCGGCGTCTATCGCTATCGTCAGAAGCAGCTGAAGGAGGATCCACATTGGCAGATGACCCTGCCCCGCTCCCGTGCCGGTTCGGCGCGCAATTTGCGCGTGTTGAACTACGATCCCGAGGACGATAGCGATACCGATGCGAGCACGCTGAAAAAAAGTAGGTCCTACGATAAAGTATATCGCACGAACGAACCATTACCGGGCAAACCGCAAATTGATTTTCCAGCTAAGAAATGGGATCTGGACATGCAGGACGAGGATGTGACCTCATCGGAAGGTAGTGATAATAGAACTAGCACAAAACTAGCCAAGGATATTTCCTACATTAATCAAAATAACGTTGCCCACGCAACAGGTGAGAAACCCAAGCAGACCGGCCGTCGCTCCCTGCGCTCCGCATCCGGCACCGAACTGGACCAGCACCAGGAGGGTCAGCGCGAGCCGGAGGAGGACGATGACTTCGACGAGGCCGACGTGCACACTGGCCAAATCCATCCGGCTGGCTATCACCAACCGCTCTCGCCCGAGGAGGCCGACCAGCTGCACCAGCAGCAATACAGTCCCACGTTCAGCGGGGTCGACAGTCGCACCAGTGCAGCCAGCTCCATCAACTACACGCCCCAGTCGGCGGCCCAGAATCGCTTTGGGGGCGTGCCCGTGTTGCCCAGCAACACGCAGTACTACAATAGGCCAGCCTCGGGTGTGCCGGCGGCAACAACAACAACTGCCACGCCTCTGCGCGTAACGTCCGCAACAACACTGACGCAGGACAGCGGGTTGCCCTCGCCGCCGCCCTTCACCACATCCCCAACACCATCGGTGCAAAAATCCACAGAGGTTTAGCACACCAACACACACTCACACACACACACACACACACGCACACAAACATTTGCCTTCCCTGCACAGGCTAAAAAGTTCAAATTTTGTATAACTAATTTCATATATCGTATATATAACATGTATATTTTTATCTAAACTTAAATAATTATTATACACACTGCTAATTGCCCCACCTGTCATCAAAATACCTTTATTAATTTTTTTGGTTTGTTGTTGTTGCCATGACCTTTAAGCAAATACCTCCCACGCTGTGCTCAAATAGCCCAGACCGCATATAATTTGTATTTAAATACCTCATGAATAATCGGCTTAAGCGATTACAATAATGTGTTTCGTCAATTTTTATGCAACTTTCATCATTTTATAAATAAAATCTTTGTTAATAGACGTATTTTTCACTCTTTATATCTATAGCTTATAGCGTGCTCGGATAATGCCAATTGTTACATGAATCTTGACACTTCGCACCACATCTCTCGATATCAACTCAAAAAATTATATAAATTCTAAAATTCTGCTAGCTGGGTTAAAATACCTGTCTTAGAGCCAACGAGCGCGAATCGCATGTCAATTTTCTGTAATAATTTGCATAACGAGCGTTGCCAAATTGCATTCCCTACTTACACTAGACAGCAAAAGAAAGAAATGATAGTTGAACAAATATATATATA